CCAGTTCGAACTAGATTCAGCAGATTGATTTGCATAAAACGCCTGCGGAGGACCAGCATATGATTCATCGTAGCGGTGCCAACAATTCCAGACCGCATGGCCAGGCTTCCCACAGAGTTGGCACGTGATGGACCCCCGGCCACCTCCTCTGCCGCGTGCGTCGTCGCGGTACTGCGGCTGCTCGCCGCCTCTGCCGCCGGGCTGACTGCCGCGGTAAGGCCCTCCTCGGCCTCGCTGTGGTCCACGGCCACAACCCCGACCATTGCCTCGTCCGGAGTTGGTGTAGAGAGCATTATGAATATCAACAGACGAAGTAGAGTCGGAGTCACCAAGAGACAATTTTTTCTCAAAAGATAAATTCAATTCTTCAGACAACAACCAAGAGGAGACCTGATTAAAGGTGACGGTGGCAATATTGGTGCGAATATTTTGCTTGAGGGAGGCATAGTCGGCCGGTAGACCTCGTAGAACACAAAGGATAATATCTTGTTCAGAGATTTCTTCATGAGCCAGTTTGAGAGATGACACAATAGTGAGAACCGTGTCCAAATAGGATTGCATCGAATCGCTCCCCTTAGTAACACCATGGAGACGCTCCTTCAACTGAAATATATGAGTTCGTGAAAGAGAGTTGTACCGTTGTTCTAGATGATTCCAAATTGCAAGCGAGGTGGGAAGAGCATGAATATGTGTCTGAACCGTAGGTGAGACAATAGCAAGGAGACAGGCCTGAATTTGAGCATCAACAATACGCCAGGATTCATAGGCCGGATTTGGTTTCATAACCGGCGGTTCATCCTTTCCCGGTGATGCAGCCTTCTCATCAAAAATACGAGACGGAGGAGACGGTTCAGATCCATCCACATAGCCGAGAAGACGATGAGCGAGGAGATTTGCACGGACGGTGGCTCACCAAGAGGGATAATTGGTGTCATCAAACTTGACCGGGGTTAGAGATTGGAGATTCCGGACAAACAACTTGAGACCCGTAGGGAGACGATCCATAGGATCAGAAGAGACAGACGCCATGGCTGTGCACGACTTGGTAGGAGAGCTCGGCTCTGCCGATTTTTTTTTTTGATGATTAACGCAGCAAGAAAGGAGAGAAAAAAGGATCTTGGAGCTCCGATACCATGTCAAGGAACCAACTCAACCAAAAGCTCAAGCTTTTGGTTGTGGCCCAGGAATGATTATTATATACTCTAACACGCCCCCTCACGTGCAGGCGTGACCTCTTTGAGCCTTGCACGTGAAACCTTAATTTTTTTAAACTGGATGACAGTGAGTTTCGAACTCGTGACCTCTTGGTCATCAAGGCTCTGATACCATGTTGATTTATGAATTCACTCTTAAGGAATAATTGTGTACATGGATGTTTATATAGGTGAGGATCCCTACATGGACTAGGATTCACCAAATAAGTAAACTAACATAAATAACAATTCTGCTATAATTAGACTTCTTTCCATATATGTCTAACAGTTACCACAACTGTACGTTTGTCTAAAACTATATGGAGTAGAAAATTAATTAGTACTAAATTTTACTCAAAGTTAGTCGTCCTTAAATCCGGTCCTTATTATCATCAAATAAAATTGCCTCACTCTTAATTATATGGAGTTTCCATGGCTTCACTTCAATGATCTCCTAGTTATTTCTTATGTTATACTCCGTATATTAATGCTTTGTTAATTGGTTTTCACTGTTATGATCAAGGATTTCCAACAGCATCTCTTAGTTATTTATTGGTCACTTGAAGTGCCTCACTGTTATATACTCGTACATACTTTTTGTTGATTTTCACTATACTCATTTTATAATGCTCTCTCCGGTTCTAAAAATATTTTTAATTTTTTTTGTCAAACAGTGACACTCTTCACATACTGTATTAAACGTAATCTATATGATTAAATGATATAAAAATTTGATATATCAAAATTATATCTTAAGATGAACCCAATTTTATTAAATTTATATTATAATTATATATTTTTCTCGCACAATTTACAATCAAAGATTGTCCCCGTTTGACCAAATAAAGTCAAAACAAAAAATAATTTTGAGACCGGAGGGTGTATGAAATAAGGGGAACAGTTTCGTTGCCAGACAACGGTGATGACAATGGGTGTTTGGTATGCCTACGGTACTCTGTTCTCAAATTTGAGGTTCTTACCCCCACATCTTGTAAACCCCAATGGGAAATTTAGGTAGGAGGAGGATGTAATTTTCTTGAAAGTAAAAAAAAAAGTTTTTTTTTTCATAAATTTCATAGGGAATGTATAGCCCACACAGAGAAGTCCTCATCATTCTTTTTTATGCAATATAAAAAAATAAAAGTATTCAACACAGTGAAAAAAATTAAACAAAAATTATAAGCCCTCTCTTCATTCAAGTGTAATGTTACACTGGTTGTTTTCGTTGAAATTTTATGCAATCATTTTAACCGAGAAATTTCAATTCGTGTAAATACTTCTCCTCATTTTTGAAAAAATGTTCACACGATTATGTTAGCTACCGTTAAAGATTTAGAAGTCTAATTTTATTAAAATAAAGTCGGTCAAATCTCATAAATTAAAATGAAAAAATCAATTAGAGAATGAAAAAGTAGTTTTATTTAAAGTGAAAATCTTTTTGGGGATGACCCGTGTATGTGTATTTATAGAGGAATATGTAAAAGTATTTACTCGTCCATTTACCTAACTTTTTCCTTTTTTGTTTCTTTCTTTTTTTTTTTGTTGTCAATTTGGTGTTTTCCATAAATTTGATAGGGAGTGCACTATCTATATTTAGTTTAAGTGTCAAGTTTGTACTAACAACTCCTTTAAGGAGTGTATAGCCACAAAAAGAATTTCTCATCATGCATTTATAAGAAATATATATTATAAAAAAATGCTAAGGCATTCAACAAAGTTAAAAAATAAAAACAAAAATTATATCCTCTCGATCTCTTCATTACAATGTTACTTCATCCCTTCCACAAAATCATTCCTCTTTGGTTTTTTTAGAATTTTCTAAAACACTTTCACTTTCTATTAAAAAAACCACTTTTTCCCCTACCTTTTCATATCCTACCTATCACATCATACTTTTTTCACTAATAACCAAACTCTCACATCTTACTTTTTCTCATCACATCAAAGGCAAAATTAGAAAGTCAACCAAAATTACACTTTCCTTATTTTTGCCCCAAAGTCAAAACCGGAAAGGTTTTGTGGAATGGAGGGAATATATAACAAAAAAAAAGTTAAGGCATTTAACAAACTTAAAAAATATAAATAAAATTACATTCTCTCTCTTCATTAAAGTGTTATGTTTCACTGGTTTGATCAAACTCATAAAATTCGAAAAATTATGCAATCACTTTAACGTACAACAGAGAACTTCAATTGGTATAGAAGTTCTTCGTTTCATTTTTTAGAGCTTCTCACATAATTTTTTTTTATTTTTTTAATTAAAGAAAATAGATGCATGCATTTCTCATTTGATTGGTTAATGACGACATCCGTGTTTTTGTTAGAAAAAATGAAATAAAGCATACGCTTACTTAATTAATAAATAAATACTTAATTTGCTTGCAGGTAAATATTTGAACAATAATAATGTTCACAAGACTATGTTAGCCGCGGTTAATGTTTTAGAAGTCTAATTTTTTTTTATAAGAAGCGAAGCATGATGAAAACTTCAGCAGAAAAAGGAGAGCAAATTTGAATTACCATCCTTAAGCCTTGTTGTTGCCTCTTGGATCCCTCCCACTGCAGACAAAACTGTACACAAAAATAATAGAACATCGATCATACATATCATCATTAATTTCTTTTTTAATTTCTTCAAAAAATGTTGTTAAAGTAATATAATTAAATACTACTCCCTGCGTAGTGTATATATATATATATATATATATATATATATATATATATATATATATGTTTATGTTTGTGTACCTGAAATTGAAGGCGTAAGAACACCATCGCAAATGACCATAGAAGTGCCAATAATGGTGGCACCAAACAATATACATTTGGCCGAGCGTCTTAACTTGACATGCTCACATACCAACATGTACATAGCAAATGTCCCACCTTCATATTATAAAAATTCAATGTATTTTTTCGTAATAAACTATCAAAGTTCAAAAAGTTTGACCATAAAAATCTAAAAGAATAATACCTTCTCCATTATAGTTTGCATGGAGATAAATGCAAACATATTTTATCAATGGAATTAGGGTGAGGGTGTAGTAAATTAACCCCAACACCCCGAGGATGTCATCCTCGTGCCTAATCCCCTTAGGAAATATGCTTGGAAAAGCATAGAGGGGAGAAGTCCCCATGTCTCCATAAACAACTCCCAAGCTCTGGAAGACAAGCTGGAGGAGCACTAACGCCCCAACTCCCTGCATGGATATCAGTTTATTAATTAAATAATTGTTTTATAACATTAAGTGTAACCACCCTATCTAATTGTGAAAAAAAGTGAAAGAAAAATAAGCTAATAACAGCTAGTAAAAACTACGTACTCAAGTAGCCAGTAGGTGTGAAAATTTTGTATCTAATAAAAGAAATATTTGTACTAAATAGCACTAAAACTATGTTTTAGGGAAAGTCATTATGTTTTTTATTGCTATTTAAGTAAATTTCTCAATTTACTTAAATAGCACTAAAATATAGTGACTTTCTCTAAATAGCACTACATGTGTTTGTCTTTCCAATGTAGCACTTTTAGTCATTATGCATTAGTCATTATTCAAGTAATAAATATTCATTATCATTGGACATTATGGACATTATTAAGTGCTATTTAGAAAATTAAACAGTTTAAGTGCTATTAAGGGAAATGACTTAAGTTTTAGTGTTATTCAGTTCAAATATTTCATAAAAGATTGAAAGAGGAGCATTTTAAAAACATAAATAGGAACTAAAATTCACAAACAAAACAAGTCTGTCCTTCATTCAAACTTTGGAGAGTTTTAAAAAACCAAAAGAGACCGAACAGAAAAACTGAAGTCACAACATTATTGGAGTTGTTTTTTGCCATTTACAACATTGAAAACAACTACCAAGGCATCTAATAATAAATAAGAAAAATGTATTTTAAAAAAGTTGTAGTTTTTTTTTTTGAAGTCAAAAAAGTTGTTGTAGTTTGAAAAGAGTAAACTTGAAACTTTTAAGAATCATACATATATGTATACAGATACCTTGATGCCACTGATCCTTTGTTCTGGATGCTCTGCAGCTGTTACTTCTTCTTCTTCTTCTTCAATGACATCTTCTTCCTCGTCCTCCATTTGTATTTCAGTTTGCAAACTGTTACGAGTAGGGACGATCTCATTATCTTCCTCGTCCTCCACTTGTATTTCAGTTTGCAAAGTGTCACAAGTAGGGACGATCTCATTATCTTCCTCATCGTCGTCATCATCATCAACTTCAATGATAATATCTGCTTCTAGTTCTTCTTCTACAACTACTACTACTTCATCATGAACAACAACATCTACCACCTCATCGGGGATGGCTGCCGCCAGCTCAACCCCAATTATGGTTGCCTCACACTCAAGAACTTGGGAGGATGCCATTAGTCTTTATGAATTAGTACTGCTTCAACGTTTGCTTGTTATGACTTGTAGTTCCATTCCACCCTTTCCACATACAATTTATAGAGAAGCCAAAACATACTTCGTAGGGGAAATACTACCTCCAGTCCCAGAGTATTTGTCCACTTTTATTTTTACACACCATCCAATACACTTCTTTAATCCATTTTATCTTGTAATTTGTAGTATATTAAAAAAATATAGAAATTATATATTACTCCCTCCGTCCGGAAAAAATCTTCCTAGTTTGACTTTTGGTCATTTTTAGTGAGTGTTGACTTTGACATTAAAATGTCCAAAATACCCCCATATCTTTTTGTTAAGCCCCAGGCTGCCCCCAGCCAGTATCCTACCAAAACACTCCAGCCCACCGCCGTTCACCCCTACCACTGTCCAGCCCACCGCCGCCCCACTTTGTTTTGGAGTTTCTGCCCAGCCGACCGCCGCCCCAGCCCATCGCTGCCGCAGCCCACCGCTGCCCCAGCCACCACCGCCGCTCCACTATCCACTGCTGACTCACCGGTGACAATTGCCCAGCCCCCACCATCTCTTTCATCCCTCGCCACAATAAAGAAAGAGAAAAAATAAGGGAAAACTGAGAAGAAAAAGATCTCGTACAGATCTACCAGATCTAGCTCTCACCGCCCCCATCAGCTCTATTATGGCCGCTAGCCCCACTGATCTAGCACAAATCTAGAAGAAGAAGAAGAAGAAGAAGAAGAAAGAAAGGGGGGCACAAAGGCGTAGATCTAAAGAAAAAGAACAAGGTTGAGGATGAGAAGAAGAAGACGAAGAAGAAGGGGGGAAGAGAGAGAGAGAGAGAGAAGAAAACGCAGTGGAAGAAGAAATGAAGAAGAAGGAGAAGAACAAACCCAGGAGAAAAGAGAAGGAAGGGGAGGGTGAGAGAGAGAGAATGAGGAGAAAAGAAAAAGAAAAAAAGGGGAAGGGGGGTGGTGGCCTGGCCGAGGAAAAAAAGGGAAAGCTGAACGAGTGGAAGAAAAGGAGAAGGAAGGGTATTTTTGGAAGAATTGAGATTAAAGAGTAGAATGAGAAGATTATTTTGGGACGGAAAAAATTGTAGAATGAGAAGATTATTCTTGGACGGAGGGAGTAATAATCTATATGTTAAGACAAATCAAACAAGATCACACATGACTATATTTAGGCTTACACATTGAGAGAATTTGATGAGTCAAAGTATTTAGATGAACAGTTCTAAAAGTCAAAATTGGACGAATACTCCGGGACGGAGGGAGTAATAGATAGAGTAAAATACAACCAAAATACTGAAATAGGTGTTTGTTACTCTTTTTCTTTATTTTATTATTCACAAAATCAAACTTTATTTATTTTCTATCTTTATTTTTGTTACTCATTTGAAAAAATAATATAGTCATGTCACATCTTAATTCATACTCCCTCCGTCCGGAAATGTTCTTCCCGTGTTGACTTGGCACGCTTATTAAGGAATAGTAAAAAAAATGCAAAATTTTCAAAAATGCACATACTATAAACTTTTAAATCTCCTTTTATTATTAAAAAAAATATTTAAAAAGTAGATTTGTGATAAAATAGAAGGGTATTATTGATATTTAGCCTTAAAAAGCATGCTAAAAAAGGAAATGAGAAGATTATTTCCGGACGGACCAAAAAGGAAAATGGGAAGAATATTTCCGGACGAAGGGAGTAGAATTTTTGATGTATTTTTTTAATATGAATATTTCATTTTTTAAATTTGCTACAATTCTCAAATAAATTGCATTAAAAATACTTTGGTCAAATATCGTAAACTGAAATAGGCACTTTAAAATGGGACGAAGAGAGTATTATTTTTATTTTCTAAGTAAGAGTTACACAATGTAAATGGTGATAGTGTGATAATATAAAAGTGGGTATTGTGACGGTGTGGTGGTAGATCACAGGTTAATGCCGGCTAGCGGAGCACCGGCAACCCATGGGGGCTCTCTCGTGGCTGTGTGTCCATGCAGATAATCAATTTATATCATATTCAATGTATTTTTTCATACTTTATTTTCAAAGTTAAAAATTATGGACCATAATAGTCAAAATGGGAAGAAAGATATCGATTAGAGAAGGGAGTAGTCCCAAATAACAATGGGAATTGCGAAAATTAAGGAGTACTCCGTAATTTGTAAGTTTAATTTCCATATGGATTCTAGTAGTAAAAGCACTTTAGCGTTGTGATTTTATATTTTGAAATAAGATGTTAAGATGTGGGTTCCGTTTGGCTTGAATGTTAGAGTTTAGCGTTTTGAAAAAATAATCTAACGATAATTTTTAGTGTTCGTTTTTTCAAAGTTAATTTAGACTATTAAAATTTTATCCAAATCACTAATGCTAATCGAAAATATACCAGGGAAAAATGGTTTGATGTTAATTTTGGGTAGCAAAGTACTAGATATTTTTTTTGTCTAAAGTGGTATCAGAGAGATAAACCCCACTCAAATTGGTTGAAATCAACCACTACCCCCTGCCCCCACAACTCCACTATGATACTCCGTATTCCGTAATATGTAGCTAATTAAGCCTTTAACCAATCTTTCTCAATACTCTGTTTTAATCTAATTTTATATTTTTATACTTTAATTTAATTAATCATTATAGTATCACTCTCTCAAACCGGAAAAGTAGCTTCACTTTGACTTCTAAAGGTTTAAGAAAAGTATAAAAATATAAAATTAGATTAAATGGGACATGAGCGGGACAACTTAAATTTATATTGATCCGTCCCGTTTGTCCGGTTTCATCCACCCCACTAATATATGAGTAATACTAATTCTAGTCCGAAATCCAAATACACTCATTCTTTAATTCATTAATTAATTAAGTTAACTTCATAGGTTTGAGTTTTCAGCTCAAAGTTTATTAAATTTATTTGGTCCCATTTCACTTATTGTTTTTTGTTGGATGACTAGATGTTTCTCTTTTTTTGAATGAAATATCACTCTCTCCCCCTTCTTATATTGCTATTAGGACAAAGTAGAATGACACGAATCCGTCCCGATTTATTCTGATCCCAAATTTTGTGGGACAAACTGAGATAAGATTGTAATTCGAACCGTTCTGGACCGTTTATATATAACGGGACAAGACGTGTGACAACCTAAAATCCGGACCGTCCCGATCCGTGTTCACCCCTAATGAGAATGCATGTGGTGTTTTAGAATGTGAGATGTAAGGGCCATAAAAATTTTAATAATAATAATAAATTAAAAAAATTCGGTGACAGTTTTGTAATTTAATTGAACTTTATAAAATGCAATACCTGCGTTTGAAAATTACACTATGACGAACTACATGCTTTTTAAAATGCAACATTAGTAAAAAAAATCCATCGTTCTCATTTCTCTCCACAAGGTCCATTCTCACAGGAACCGGCATATATACATACATACATATGTGTGTGTGTGTGTGTGTGTGTGTGTGTGTGTGTGTGTGTATGACATGACATCACTATGGTTTTGTTTGGAACATGGCAGTTGGCAGTTGGTTATTGGCTGCTTATGTTGGCTGGTTTGTATTAGGAAGTATAATTAAATTAGGATACTTCTTTCCTTTCCTACTAGGATTATTCTTTCCTTTCCTACTTGTACTTTGATTACTCTTGTATTCCCTATATATAGGGCCATATCTCTCAATATTCAATAAGACAAGTTATTATCAAATTGTATCATGGTATCGGAGCTAAGGCTCTCAAAAACCTAGCCTCTCTTTTTTTTCCGACCGCCGCCCACCATGGCAGCCCCGTCGGATCCTTTGGCGTCCTTACCCTCCGGAGTAAAACTTTTACTTCGGAGTCTCCACAACTTA